TTTAATTTTCATTCTCTTGATATTAAACCTTTGCAAGTAAAATACTGATTGCTGACTTCATTATCACATCCTACATCTGATCCAATGGTAATTCCTGTTGGTGTATTTTCAAAACATACCCAGCATCCACTTACTTCTCACCTCCACCAATATAATCCTGTTATAATCTCTCACCTGGATTATTGTCAAAACATCTTGACTAGTCTACTTGTTTCTGTTCCCTTTAAGCTTAAGGAGAGTAGTATCACTTTTCTACTTAAAACGCTATGGTTTCCATTTCTACTTAGTTAAAACACAAAGGCCGCCTATGGCCCTGTCAGACCAGACCAGACTGACTGCGATGAAGCTGGTCTCAACTCATAGCAAGCCCTCCTTGGGTTTCTGAGGCAGTAATTCCATGGAAGTAGATTGCCTGTATTGTTTCTGAGGAGTGGTCGGTGGGTTTGAACCACCACGCTTCTGGTTAGCTGTCAAATGCCTTAGGCACTACACCACCAGAACTCTGTATGACCTGGTATTACCTACTTCCTTATCATTCTCTCATCAGTCTGACTTCATCTTTTATTCCCCTTCTCCGGTTATCTCCCCTCAGGTCCTTTGCACTTGCTCTTTCTAGCATACTCCTCCTTCAGAAATATGCATGACCCTCCACCTCAGTCTTCTACATAAATGTCAGGCATCAAAAAATGGCCTTCTTTACTAATTCTATATACACTAATGTTCCTCCATCTTCTATACCTGGAATTATTTTTTTCTATAGCATTTATCACCATCTAACACACTTATTTGTTCACTCTCTCTTCCTCTGGAATGTCAGCTCTTAAAAGGTCTGTTATATTTACTGCTGTATCCCTAGCACCTAGAGCTGTGACAGTCAGGTGTTATGCTCTCAAATACTGTTCAAATGAATGCTTCCAGCATGTTCTTAATTAGCAATAGTTGCTAATAGATATTTGTAAACAGAATAAATATTATCCAATACACCCCCCTCTTCACTTATTGATGTGGTTAGATTCCAGAGATCAAGTCATCATGTGAAAATTGGTGTTATGTGAAAATGGAGGACGACCACATCAGATCACAGAATGGAGGATGACATCTTTACGTAGATGCCAAATCACTGAAAATCACGGCTCACACAATCTTAAACATCACAGCCAGCATTACTCTTGCTTTGCACCTCAGCCTTTGTTACTGCCAGATAAATGTAGCTAATGTGCAAAATAGTCAGATTTTTTACTATTGTTATAAACACAAATGTTGGATACTGAAATATTCAGTAAGTGAAGGGAGGGTATAATAAATATTTAGTCAAGTTTGCCTTCAATCTAATAATTTCATAACAGTGAAAAGGCAAATTCAATACAATCAACACACAGATAAGTGCCATTTCGTACAAATTACTAGGCCAAAGGTGTATGGAGGGGAACGGGATGGGTTGTTGTTATGTGCCGTTGAGTCAGACCCGACGACCCCTCCTGGGGTTTCTGAGGTGGTATCTCTACAAAGTAGAGAGTAGATTGCCCACTCTTCCTTCCGAAGAGTGAGTATAACATATACATGAGTATAGCAGTATGTATACATCACCCAACCATTCACTACAAATGTCTGAATTCAGTGAAGTAGATTGACCAACCTTCCTTCCAAGGAGTGGCTGGTGGGTTTGAACTGCCAGCCTTCTGGTTAGCAAATGCCTTAAGCACTATGCCACCAGAGCTCCCAGGTCTACATTAGCACACAACACTTATTTAGTAGCAGGCTTCAAAAGATGGTCTACAATTTACAGATTCATGTTCTTAGCAAACTTGAAAGCTATACAGTAATTGTATAACCCAAACCGAAACCCATTGCTGTTGAGTTGGATGAGACTCAGTGATCCTACAGGACAGGGCAGAACTTCCCCATACGGTTTCCAAGGCTGAAAATCTTTACAGAACGACTGCCACATTGTTCTGCGGAACAGCTGTAGGTTTGAACCACTGCTGACATTTTGGTTAGCAGCCAGGTATTTAACCATTGAACCATCAGATCTCATAAATCGTATAACTGTACAAAAACGAGTGCATACACATTAAGTATTTGAGAATAAATTACACAGAGTATGTTAAGGATGCCTGGACTTTGGAGAATTAACCTCCATTAATTAACACCAGCAATATTTTTTCAGTCTAGTGTGTAGCTTTTAATTAACTAATATAATGACTTCAAAGTGACCAAAGGCCAATTCTGTCTCACTATACCTGTTTTAATTTTTATTATTAATGGAAAATTCTAATTTATACATGAGTATAGCAGTATGTATACATCACCCAACCATTCACTACAAATGTTTGAACTCAGCGAAGTAGATCGACCAACCTTCCTTCCAAGGAGTGGCTGGTGGGTTTGAACCGCCAGCCTTCTGGTTAGCAGTCAAATGCCTTAGGCTCTATGCCACCAGAGCTCCTGAATTTTACATTATTCCTCAAAATAATCTTTCTTTATGAATTTCTTTTTCTATTTTTCTTCTCACCATATGTTTCCAGAGTACTGCTGACATGAAATTGAATACTAACAATCTCTAATTTACAAGGTGATAATGATACTTGGACACTCATATGTGACAAATAAGGGTATTTTCTCTGAGCCACTTAGGTACACAGATTGGACTGAGATTCAGACTGTTATCTTACCCTCAAGAATGAGTAAACTATTAATTCGCTGCTAAAATTGTACAGGTTTTTAAAACAAATTTATTGATCACTTAACATGGGCCAGACACTGTGTTAGGTGCTGAGACTATAGAAAAAAGCCCCTGACTTCCAAAGGTATTGTAACAAACATTTTACATTGAAAGTAAAAACACTGATTAAGACTATTCATTCCTTAGGGATCAGCAGCTATTTACATCTAATCAAGACTAGCCCAACTGCAAGAATGGGAGTTTTGGTTAAGGGACGTAGAAGCAGGAGAGGGGATAATAGGAAATTTTAGAGCATGGAATACTCTAGGGAAAAGAGAACCTGAATGGGATACCCTAGTGAGGGATACCAGGCAAAATTAGTCATAAGTGCAATAGGAGATGAGGACAGTAGAGTCGCAGGATGAAGAACAAAAAGGTCTATGATCTTGGGTGAGTTACAAAAACTCTAAACGTACCTTTTCCTCAGCTGTGAAATGGAGTAACTGTACCTCAGAGTTCTAATGAGGATGAAATGAACAAGTAAAGCACTTAACACAGAGGCTAGCACATAATAAGTACCCATAACTATTTGTTGGATAAAACTTTATTTCTGCTGCAGTGATTGGTACCCTGCTAGTATCATTTAACTACCTGCTTTTGTAGACTGGCCTTAGAAAGCTGAAGTTGTCTCCATTATTTGATATTCCCAAATCAACATACTATTTGGTTAAGTTTCCAAACGTTTTTGGGAGTTTCAGAAATTAAAAAATTTCAGAATATAATAATCTTGAAAAATGTTACAAAAGTTGAGCAGTGCTTAACCCAATATACTGCTATCAAACTTCTAGCCAGAAGCAAGTGGGAAAAAGCAATAAGCTTCATGTTTTTAGGGAGTACTCATCTACAGTAGTCCTGGTGGTGCACTGGTTAAATGCTTGACTGCAAACCAAAAAGTCACTGGTTCAAACTCACAGCCCTTCTGCAAAGCAGGAGAAAAATGTGACCACTTACTTCTATTAAGATTACAGTTGTGGGACACCCTTCAAGGGCAGTTCTACCCTGCACTATAGGTCTGTGAGTAGGAACTGACTCCATGGCAATGAGTTTTGTTTTATTTATTTTTAATCACCTACAGAGAAAATCTTTCAGTAAACAAAGGTCATTCACTGCATCTTAGTAAAAAGATATTTCAAGGTAACTAGCAAATTATCAGATAAACTAAAGAAACGTGTGCCTTTTCTCAGATTACAAATATTAACTTAAAATTGAAACTTTATGGAAATGAAAAAGTAACGATTACATTGTACTTCATAACAGCTACAATATCTAGAACGTTACAAAAAGAAAGCTAAAATTATATTTTTAACGCATACATTTCTCAAACTGCCAGCATTCCTGGAGTAAAACAAAGAGCCACGTCAAGAACTTATTGGCCTTTTTCTTCTTTTTGAGAAAAGCAACAAAGGCAGAATCACCTCAGCTTTGAAAAACAAAAGAGAATGCAGTGGGAAGTTACAGGACAAAGAAAATATCGCAAGATGAGATCATTTAACATTACCTCCAAAAATTCTTAGCCTTCACTAAAAATGTTCAGGTAATTATCAACTGTTGCTTCATAAAAACTGCCCGCTGGTTCAGTAACATGTCAATCACGACCAGCAAGAGATGATAAAAAATGCATTAAGTCCACTTCCCCTCAGTTGAGATTTCCATTCTTAAAAAGCAGTTTCATAATCCTTGGGTTTCCTTGGTAGGGGAGAAGGGTATGCTACAAAAGGAAAGCCGAAGAATAGTTAAATATTTGGCCTTTTTCCCAGTTGGCAACTGAGAGAATAAAGTTTACCTCACTGAAAATAAGTACAAGTAACCTCAAGGAAAAAAAAAAAACACTTTATCAACAAGAAGGAAAGAGCCTCAGAAGAAAAGAAAAATAAAATTAAGAAGGTTTTAAAGATAAAGATGTTGATCAAGAGGCAGGGCGGGAAAAAGAGAAGGAAAGCATGGGGACAAAACATTCACGGAGTTCTTAAAGGAGGTTTAAATGAAAAAGTCCTTTCGCCTGGCCCGAAACTACATCAGGCCCGAGGTGTGGCCAAAAGCCAAGCTATGGTGTAGTTGAAGCGAAGGTACTTATCTAAAGGGTGAACCCTCTCTCCCTTCACTTTGCCCTCTCATAGCCCAGGTCTCGGTCCGTAAGTATCCAGATGTGTTTCAACGAGAGAGAAACCATGATATCGCTGCGTTCATGAAGAACAATAGGTTGGGGAGCGGCGCCCGGCCGAAGGCTCACTCCCGAACGACCCCCATCCCTCTCCCCTCATCGCTGCCCCAGACTCACAGAGTCTTGGGCATCTCGTCCTCCATGGCTGTTGCTGTCGCGGCGGGGCCTCCAGGTCCAGGTCCCTACCCTTTACTACCTCCGAAACCTTTTGAGTGGCTATGGCTGCGGAATAGCGGGGTTTCTCGGCTGACCGGAGGTTACTCCGCCTCCTTCTTTGGCGGCAATTACACTAAAACGCCCGGCCCAGCGCGAACAATGAAGCCCCAATACAAGATGGCGGAGAGCCGGGAGCCTTGGAGCGGCCAGCCAAGTGACCCGAGTCGCGCAGGCGCAGAATAACCTTGCACTCTCAACCTCCCGGCCGCCAGACAGCACCTCAATCCATAGGTTCACTTGTTGCGCAGCCGCTCTTCCAGTAGACGCCAGGGATGTTTCAGAGTGCGCAGGCGCGAGTGTTAACTATTGCAGGGCTTGTGTAAACTTGTCTTCCAACTTCAATTTTATAATTTTTCAAGTGTTATAATGAAATAGAAATTGGCAGAGAAATGAAAAGTTCTAACTACCAGTAGGTAAAGGGAGAATTGGGAAACTTCGTGTTACGTTATCGTAAGGGGTAACAAGAAAAGACCTCGTGCGCCGCCCGGGAATCGAACCCGGGTCGCAAGAATGGGAATCTTGCATGATACCACTACACCAGCGGCGCTTTTGCGGAATAGGCTTTCCAAAGTCCTCTAGAGGTAAAAATACAGGCAAATGTTTACTTAGAAAGATTAACGTTGATATATGTATATATACTTTTCTTTCATTCATTAAAAATAAATTCTTGATAGCCTATAATGTGTTATTTTTCATTAATATAAGAAACAATTTGTTTTTTCTCATCCCAACACAATTGAATGGATGTTTCTACCTTCTTTGTACAGAAAATACCATAATGTTTTACTGAAAGGTCTTCATAAGATTTTGCTCTTTTTAATTATATATTTGAGATCCAGGAAGATATTTACAGATCTTTGCTGGATTTTTGTTGATACTTGGATTTCTTTGGAATATGCAACATACAAAGCATTTAAGAAATAATTATTTAATGCAAATAGATCACAAGAATCTTAAAAGCAAACGAATCAGAAAATATATTAATTTCAGTCCTCTTTCAGGGAGCAGAAAAAATAGTGTTCTGAAATTTTGTTCAGTGTACTTACTATGGATTTCTCATTGCATTTTTTTAAAGTTAATGTAAAATACTATTGTCAAACACAGAAGAATTTGCACCTCCAAAAACATGATGTTCGTTCCTTCAATAAAACTCTTTGCTTTAATTAAAAACAAAAACGTGATTGTCCCTTTCAAAGCAGTTCTTTTAGATTATGATACGTTTTTTAATTTCTATTTTTTAAAATTGTCTTTAGATTTGTGGCACATTCTTACTATAATATTCAAAGATAAAATAAATGCTAATTTATTATTATTAATGGATAGTATTTTTTAAAAAAATCTTTATTGAGATATAATTCACATTCTGTACAATTCATTCATTTAAAGTTTATAGTTTAGTGATATTTAGTATATTTTAGTGATATTTAGTATATTGATGTACAGAGTTGTGCAACCAACACCACAAGCAATTTTAGAACATTTTTATCACCAACAAAAGAAAATCCTTACCACTTAGTAATCACTCCTCATTCTCCATTCCATTCTACCTAAAGATCCCTAATCTTTCTGTCTCTATTGATTTGTCTATGCTGGACGTTTAGTATAAATGGAATCATGCAATATGTGATCTTTTGTTACTGATTTCTTTCACTTAGCATAATGCTTTCAGTTCATGCATGTTGTAGCATGTATCAGTACTTAATTCTTTTTTATTGCTGAATAAAATGCCATTGCATGAATATAGCACATGTATTCCTTGAAGCTTCAAAATTTTTATCAAATTATTTAAGTTACAAAAGTAATATTATACATGCTTATAGTGTCAAGTCAAATGATACAGATACATAGGAAAAGATCAATAATTCCCTTCTTCTAAACTCTTGAGGTAATTAATATTAACAGGTTAGTCTATAAGCCTCCATATCTTTATGCATAAACGTGTAGGTACTTGGGATTTTTTATTTTGTGATCATGGCATAGATTCGACTTTACAACTTAACTTTACTCACTAAAATTTACATTATAGATATTCTTCAGTTCAACTGATTCAGATCTAATTTATTGCTTTTCAGTTGTTGCAGAATGGTTCAGAATGAATGTATCATAATTTAGTCCATAGTAAATGGTAATTAACCATCAGTGGTATAGATATTGATATTATGCAGGTTACTCCATTTTTTTTTTTCCACCAGTACAATGTTGCAATAAGTATCCTGGTACATACATTCTTAAGAATTGATTCTTTTATTTCTGCAGGATAGATTTCCAAATGTGGGATTGCTGAATTAAATGCTAATCTTTATAGATACTGTTTTCTAAAAAGGCTGTAGTAGTGCACACTTCCATCAACAACGTTTGAAAGTCAGTCCCCAAGACCCACCCCTCATCCCAATTTTCTTCTGCATTACGATGTAATGAGTCTTCAGAAGCTAAGAAGAATGCAAAAAAAATAAAACAAGGGCATTTGGAAGCAATAAGCCCTAGGACACGATGGCCCTAGAGACCAGAAGAACTAGATGGTGTCTGGCTACCAATGCCAACCACTCAGGAAAGGATCAAATCTGGAGATCCTGGATAGAGTGGGAGGGAAAACGTGGAACAAAATCCAAAAACTCAATAATGACCAGAATTAGTGGTCAGATGGAGTCTGATGAGACCCCCAATACTGTGGCCCTGGAGTAAATTCGGTGCCTGGAATAAAACTCAGTCCCAGGGCTGGCTCTCAGCCCAATAGTTAACAAGATGTACATGCAGACCACTCAACCCAGGATGACACACTCACATACTCTTTGGTAATTGTTCTGGTTACCTAGTGCTGCTGTAACAAGAAACATAACACAAATGGGATGGCCTTAACAAATAGGAGTTTGGGAGGCTAGAAGTCCAAATTCAAAGTGTCAGGCTCTAGGGACTGGGTGAAAACTCTTCAGCCTTGGGCTTCAGCTCTGCCTCCAGCTCCCGGCCCACTGAAGCTAGAGGCTTTTCTTCACTCAACAGCTGCTTGCTGCTGAGGCTGCCAAACCCAAGGTTGACAAGTAACAAGGCACAGTCCCGATGTTACCAAACCACACGGCAGGCCATTAATTCAAGTCCAGTGTAAGTCCCAAGGTCGGCAGAGCATGGTAGGCTGCTGAACAATGACATGGCTACATGCAGGGTTCAAGGTACCATAAGCTAGAAACTATTCCCAAGCCTTCTCCTTATATACAGGAAGCAGACCACATCCCAAAGGCAGCCACTCAGATGCTTGTGGTAAATCCCACCATGGAGTTGATTGCCAGTCTCCTCATGGGGATTAACTACCACCAGCTGCCCAGCCACTCAACCAGGCCCAGCCAAGTTGACACACAACATAACCACAGCACTAATACATCCCTTAGAGCAATAGACCACAGGGCACCAGAGGACCAACATTCAAATTGGCAAAATGCAGGACAAACAGGATTGCATAAATATGAGGGGCACAAGAGGTGGGTTACTGGGTAAGGAGGGGAAGAAGCTGTGTTAGGATTGGACATGGTAAATGAGAAGTGAAACTAAATGTACATGTACCGTTCAATGTAAAACAAGCTCTTATAATTTGAAAAAAGAAAAAAAAGGTGTTATCAGTCTTTTTAATTTTTGCCAATACCATACATGAAAAAATGTTAGCTCCTCATTTTAATTTTCACTCCTTTAATCTACTGGGCTTGAACATCTCTTCATATGTTTTTTTGTCTGTTAGCACTCTCTCTTTTGTGAATTTCCTATTCATGAGCTTTTTTTTTGTACCTTTTCTTACCAATTTGTGAAACTCTGTACATTTATAATTTTAACCACAATCTTGTCTGTCACATGAGTGGTAAATATTTTTCTCATTTATTTATTTATTTTTTTAATCATCTAGACCATTTGAAAAAGAAAAAAAACAAGATATGAGGTAGTAAGAAAGTATGAGATTGCTTTTCTTCAAGGCAGTTTAAAAGAAGAGAAAAGATGTATGGTGGCAGTAGCAGAATTACAGATCTGAAAGTTTATGGAGACTGCTTTTTTGAACAATACTCCTTTAAATAAATATTAATTTATTACCTTATTATCATACTTCCTCTTTATGGTAAAATTCCCCCCTCCATAATACCCACCAGCCACTCCTCGGAAGGAAGGCTGGGCAATCTACTTCTGTAGTGATACTGCCTCAGAAACTCAAGGAGGGGTTGCTATGAGTTGGGTCTGACTCGACGGCACATAACAACAACAACAACATGATTTTCTAAAACTCTTTTTTAGTTTCAAGGGCAGCATGATTTTTGAAAGGGCAAGGTTGTAGAATGGGAAAGTCTTTGATGTCCTCCCACTTTGAATATTTTTTATGCTGTTTCATCAGTTATCCTTTCAATAAATTCTTTCCCAAAGTTTCAGTAGCAGAAGAAAAAGTTTCCAAATAGGACATTTCTAAATAGCCCCCTAGAGCCAGAAAAGGGAGAGACCAGGAGTGGCCTCAGGGACCTCAGGAGCAGCAGGCTATCCAGTTAAAAGGGGCAGTAGGCAAGGGTAGGCCCTAAGCCCTCTAGAGCTTGGGAGGAACTAGGAGTGGCTGGGGACAACAGAGTGGCAGGTTTCAGGTAGGAATTAGGTAAGAGGAGGGTGCAGAGGTTTCCAACAGCTAAGGGAGACAAACTTGTCTGTCAGTTTGTCATCCTATGAGGCTTATACGTTGCTGTGAGCTTGAGGCTGTGCCACTGGTGTTTCACACGCCAGCAGAGTTGCACATGGTGCACAGGTTTCAATGCAGTTTACAGACTAAGACAGACTAGGAAGAAGGAGGAGGCCATCCACTTCTCAAAAATTGACCAGGGAAAATCTTATGAATAGTAGAGAAACACTGTCTGATTCATTAATGGGCAACTTTATGAATAGCTTGGGAACATTGTCCAACACAGTGCAGGAAGACTAGCCCTGTAGGTTGGAAGGCACTCAAAATAGGACTGGGAAAGAGCTGCCTCATCAGAGTAGAATGAACCTTAATGATATGAATAAAGTAAGTCTTTCAGGACCTCCATGTGCTGATGTGGCACAATTCAAATTGAAGAGAAACAGCTGCAAACATCCATTAATAATTGGAACATGGAATGTATGAAATATGAATCTAAGAAAATTGGAAGTTG